TAGATCTTCATCGTTTAATAATATAGAACTGGTAAGCCTTAAACTCCGTTAGAATGAGAATAATATTATTTATGGAAATTATTTCACACTTATTGCTTTGCAGTTATTTGTAAATTAATCGAACTTTCTGCAATATATTTCACTACCATACTTTTATTCAAAGCGCTCAATTAATTTCAACGTCGACGTGCAAGCATCTTGGTTACGAATCAAAACAATAGCATTATAAAATTTTAAGTTTTGTAGCGAAGATGAGTTTGAATTCTTATATTAAGCTACAATCGAACTGTTTCTTCGTAGTGACAACGCAAAAATGTTTACTTACAGAAGAAAATACCGAATACTTGATTCCCATCTTCGATGAATTTCGTTAAAATTTGTGTTTCGACCAAATCTTGCAATAGGCTTTCTTCCATACATATTTGGTCAATAAAGAATTGGAGCTATATAAACAACATTTATGATTCACATTGAATATTAATGTAATTTAAAGTATCAGTCGTCACTTACATTTGATGATATTTCTATAAAATTAACATAGCGTAAGAAAAATAATAAAAAAGGAGTAGTCGTTGATAGTGTTACAACGCAGCTTTGTAACGTAATTTCAGAGTTTGAAAGCGACACTATCTAAAAATATGTGTTCATTACGTATTAATCAAATAGCACTACGTTCAAATAGTATGTTCATATTAAAAATCAAAGAAAACATGATGTACATCGACATTCTTTTGCGGATTCTTGTCTTTACTATAGATTACTTCAAATCACCACTAATACTGTATCAAATTTTACACGAAAGAAGTAAACTTTTTTTTATGCAGATATATTATTAATCCTTTATAGTTTGAACATTTATCTTTCGTACATCGATACCATCAAGTAGCAACTTCAACAATATTAATCATACAAACATGTGATAAATTTCTCCGTAACAGAGTAACTCATAATGAAATTAAGAAATATATCAATTATATGTGTGGAATAAGAGTGCCTGTGGTGTTTAAACGATTCTAGTGGATGAATATGAT